TGTTGAGTGTCCCTGGGATGAGGGCACATTTCCTTCAGTGGCATCACCTGGGCCTGGACCTCCTCCAGTGCCATGCCCAGGAAAAGAGGCAACCATCAAGAGCATCTCCTGGGACACTGCCTGTCCAGCAATGTCAGCAGGCAAAACCAAGGTTTTGTTTAGCAATGACCCTTTGATGAAGTCAAAGATTCACAGTCAGAGCAGTCCTCTAGTACAGATGGGAGTACACTTGGGGCAGACATCTAAGGCCATGAGGTCACAGCAGCCTGTGGGGTGACAGCAGGCTGAGGTGACAGCAGGCTCTGAGGTCACAGAGGTCCCAGAGCCCCGTGGTTGCCCAGCACCACAAGGACCGAGCAGTCAGTCCTTGACCACGACTGTTGTGGCAGCAGCGGCGGCGGCAGCAGCGGTGCTGACATTGGGACAGCGGTGTCAGGACAGTGGTGGCAGCAAGAGCTGCAGGACTGGCAGTGGGCAAGGCACCATGGCCTTTGCTCTGCGCCTCCTCCTCCTGCTCCTCCTGGCAGTGGCCCTGCCTGACAGGGCTGCGCCAGGCTGCTCCGTGGCGAGCAGGGTGAGCAGGTGAGCCGGCAGCCTCAGTCCCCTTTCCCGGGACAGTGCTCCCTTCTCCCTGGGAAGCATTGGGGATGGTTTTCCCCATGGCTTTAGGGAGGGTTTTCTCTGTGGGAGGGACAGAGGCCTCAGGGGCCCTTGGCTGGTCCCACTGCCCTTCCAGGGATGTTGCACAGGGCCTGCAAAGAGGGTGGAGAGTGACCAGAGCCAGCCCAGAGCTCCCCAGGCCCCTCTGCAGCTTTGGCCATGTCCACTGACATCTGGCTCCCACGACCTTACCTGAGCCCCTTGCAGTGCCCAGTTCTCTAAGGCAGAAGGGGGTCCCAGCACAGCATGGAATGGTTCTGATCTGTGCTTCCTTCCAGATGAGGGTGGTAGGAAGGCTTCTCCAGCAGCTTGGCTTCATGAAGATTTTCTGCCTCTGGAGCCCCATGCAGGTATGTTCTCACTGTCCCAACAAGGAATAAACACTGACACCCTGGCAGGAAGCAGGTGACAGAAGCTGCTGTGGCTGTTGAGTTACAGGTGTGTCTGCAGCGAGGACATTTCAAGCTCCTTTTCTGGTTGCTGCACGCAAGCCCAGCTCCCATCACAGGGGTGAGTGGTGTGTCCCTGCTGATCCCACAGGCTGAGCCCTGGTTCTGTGGGATCCATTCATCTGAAATGGTAATACTTTCTGTTAAGATCCTCCTAGAGGGAGAACAAACCTACAGGAGACAAGATGCTGAGTGAATTGGAGAGACGCCGTGGTGGGTCCATGTCCCTCAGCCTTCTCCTGAGACTCAGCAGCCAGGGGCTTTCTCTGCACATCTGGACACGCTGTGCCCGGCACAGCAGGAAGGGATCCATGTCAGCCTCACTGCCCCTCTGCTGCCTTCACAGCCTGCAGGGCTGTTTCTCAGCCTGGCCTGGCTGCAGCTTCTCCCCAGCCTCTGCAGGAAGGCATTTGGCATCAGCTGACAGGAAGCCCAAACTGCAGCACGGGCCATGCACACCCTGAAATCCCCTGCAATTTCCCAGTCTTGTGGTAGATGTGGCTGGCCTGGCTCCAAAGTTTGGATGCCTTCCTGAAACTTATCCATATCTTTGACAACTATTGCCTCCTGAAGATGCCACCTTCATGTTGGGGAACAAACAGCCCCACCTGATGCATGTATCCCTCTTCCTTTCTCCAGAGACGGAAGGAGAGGCTGTGCTGAAGGCAGCGTTTCCCGGAGGAAGCAGTGGCCCATGAGCAGCCTCTGCTGCAGGAAGGGAGGCCATGCCAGGCACAGTCACAGTCCCAGGAGGTAATTGCTGTGCCCCTGGGCCTGAGCCCTGCTGAGGCTTGAGCTGCCATCTCTGCTGCTGGGCAGTGCAGGCACAGCCCAGACAAGACCAGCACAGCCCAGTGGAATTATCCCCAGCAGGCTCAGGGCATTTGGCTACTGAGCAGTCCTGCTGGGGTCCCTCCACGGGAGACAGGTCCCAAAACCTGGCAGCAGCTGCAAAGGGGTGCCCATGGTGGGGAATAGGCAGAGGGGGAGGGCAAGGCTCCACTGTATCCTGAAAGAGCCTGGCCCAGTCCCTATGGGATGGGAGAGGTGTCCCAGCAGAACGTGGGCAGGAGGGAGGGAGGGCCTGAGGGACAGTTGTGCCACTGCCTGCTGTAGTTCTTCCCCATTGCTTTTACAATTCTTTCAGCTGTGGCAGAGAGAGGGCCCCAGTGGGGCCTGGGCTGCTCCAGCCACCTCTCCCAGGGATGCTGCACAGGGCCTGCAAAGACGGTGGAGAGTGACCAGGAGCCAGCCCAGAGCCCCCAGGCCCCTCTGCAGCTGTGGCCATGTCCACTGACATCTGGCACCCACAGCCTTAGTGCCACTCCCTTGCACTGCCCCGTTCCCTAAGGTAGAAGGGGATCTCAGCACACCATGGAAACAGTTCTGATCTGTGCTCCCTTCTAGATTTGGAACTCAACCTCAATTATTTGGAAGTGCTACTGAATGATACTTTGAATATCTTGGAGAATGCTGGAGGCAAGTTCTTCTATTCCCTTTACTGACAGAACACAAAATGACAAGGTGGCAAGAGCATTTGCCATATCTCTTAAAATAATCTCAGGCTTGTTGGGTTCTGGAAACCTCGCCCTGCTCCTTTCTAGAGCCCTGAGGGATCCCACAGGTCACTACCAGTGGGAAGAAGGAGCATTTAGCTGTCAATCTTCTTCCCGTGTGCAATGCCAGTGTCTCCTTCCATGTGCTCTGTGCAGCCACGGAGAGGAGCAGAGAGGGAAGGGGCCAGGCCCAGGGCTGTGTCCCGGGGCTGTGCCTTGCATGGCTCCTTTGCCAGCCCCAGGGAGCCTGAGGGTCTCCTACAGAGCCACGGGAGCTGTTCTGTCCTACCTCTTTTTTCAGCCAAGCCTCTTGCTGAAGGTGATCTGGCTTCCCAACCCACACCCAGGACTGAGGCTCTGGAAGATGGTGAGGGTAGGTGAAGGCCTTTCCCCCTGGGAGAGCTGCCAGCTCAGAGCCCAAGGCTTGGCCAGGAGAGCATCGCTGCAGGTGCCAGGACAGAGCCATGCACATGTGTGCCCTCGCCCTGTGTGATCCTCTCACCGCTCCTGGGGCTCAGTGCTGCCTGTGCAGATCAGAAGAGATGACAGAAGCTTCTGTGGCTGTTGAGTTACAGGTGTGTCTGCAGGGAGGACTCTCCCAGCTCCTGGGTTGGTTGCTGCACACAAGCCTGGCTCCCATCACAGGGGTGAGTGGTGTGTCCCTGCTGACCCCACAGGCTGAGCATTGGCATTCTGGGATCCATTCCTGGGAAATGGAATTATTTTCCTCTAAGGTCCTCCAAGAGGAAATACCAAAGCTACAGGAGTTATGAAACCCCATGAGCCATCCAAACCCATGAGGCAAATGCTGAAGAAAATTCTGCAGGAAGGACAAGGTGGGTCCATGTCCCTCAGCCTTCTCCTGAGACTCAGCAGCCGGGGGCTTTCTCTGCATATCTGGTGTAAGAGACGGTCTGAAGATTCCCTCATCTGTCTCACAACCGTCTCAAGGACAGAGACTGAGACCCTGAATATCACAAGGG